TCAATGAGTCCTTGGTTGATAAGCATTGCATGTCTATATCTGTTTTCACGAGAAACCACTTTGAAGATATCAATATGTAATACAACAAGCATTGTTAACTCCCTACCACTTTGTCTGTAACTCCGTACTGTCTGTACTGTTCCTTTGCTATTTTGTAAAATGTTGTCTGTCTGTTAATATTTTCCTCCTTTTATTTTTAAAATTAAAAAAAATAATAATAATAATACATGCTGGCCAGGCAGTGGGATAAAAAGGAACCTTTTTAAATTAGTGGTGGAAAGATAAACTAGTAGTATCACTACAGGAATCAGAATGGAGATTCCTCAAAAAACTAAATCCAGAAATTCCATTCCAGCCAGCTATTCTCTTTCTAGGCATCTTTCTGAAAATGATTCATGCATTCCCATGTTTATAGCAGCACAATCCATAATAGCTCAATCTTAGAAATGGCCTGTATGTTCATCAACAGATGAATGGATAAAGAAAATGCAGTATTTACACACAGTGGAGTGCTACTCTGCGATAAGGAATGATAAATGTCAGGAATTTTAGGAAAACAGATGTACCTTGAGATCATAAAATAAAATAAACCAGACAGATAAGCTTAAATATCATGTAGTTTCTCTAATAGGAGAAACTCAAAATACAAATAAAGAGCAAAATAAAAGACAGATAATAGAAAATAGGCAGTAGATCTTAGGCAAACAGGAAGGGGACCAAGAGATGAAAGGAGGAGGGAGGGGGCAGAGGTGAAGGGTGTGTAAAAAGAATTATGTGTTATACACATATAAGAACTCCTCATGCTGAATGTAATCATTATGTACTGCAAACATACGAATGAAACATAAAAACTAAAAAAAAAATCTCTAGTTGAATAGATACGATAAGATCAGTTATCACTTTGTTTCCAATTTTAGGATGAAACCATTTCATCCTTACATGAGTAAATGTGATATTACTATTAGTGTCTTACAGATGCCCTTCATGAGCTTGAGGAAGTTTCTTTCTATTCCTACTTTACTAAAATCTTCTTTATCAGAAGTGGATGATGGATTTTTTCAAATATTGTATGCGCATGGCATCTGTTTAAATAATCATGTTTTTCTCTTTAAATTCATTAATATGTTGAATTATAGTAACTGGTTTTGACCTTACCTTCCTAGAATTAACGCTACCTATATTATCTGTTCTGTAATTGTTGGATTTAGTTTGCTAATTTTTTATTTGTATCTCCGCATATGTATTTATGAAAACTTTCAATGGGAAATTTATGTGTAACTTTCAATGTAATGTCTTTATCCCTTTAAAAAAATCATACAAATGCTGGATGCATAGAATGAAGTGGGAAATGAGTTCTCTTCAGTTTTTCAGAACAGTTCTTGAATTGCTGTTATTCCTTCCTTAAATACTTGACAGAATTCCCCAGTGAAGACATCTGGACCAGAATGCTTGTCTCATGTATTGGCTTTTTATGGCTGCTATAACAAATTACCCTAAACTTGGTGGCTTAAAACAACAGAAATTTATTTCCTTACCAAAAGAGAGAGATACATACATATAGACAGACAGACAGACAGACAGACAGACATCTAGGTAAAGAAAGCAAGTTGTAGAAAAGCATATATGATAGAATTGCATTTGTGTTCATGTGCTTTTAAAGAAATATAAACAAATTTATTCCTGCACCGGAAAATTTTCAGACTATTAAAGAATCCTAATCACATTTTGTAATATAAGTAAAGAACCAACTCCCCAGAAGGAATGCATTCATTACACACTACAAACAGTACTAATTTAAAAAAAAAAAATAGGAAACTTGGTCACTATCAGCGTGATATTTCATAACATGAAAAAGCATTTTGAAAGTATTAGAAAAATATTTGATTTAAGTCCTAAAGCAGTCTGAAAATTATTGTGTAAGGGATTTGATAGTGGTTGTCACAAAAATATAATCTTGGAAAAGGGGTGTAGTTCAATGGTAGAGGATGTACTTACAATGTGCAAGGCTCTGTGTTTGAGCCCCAGTGCCAGTAAAAAACAATTACCTACATAGTGTATTAGTAAACTTCAGCAGAAGTTCATTGATTAGAAAAACAAAATATTTGCTTATTTAAGCAATCAAATATTTTGAGAATGTTATATTAACACTAGAAAATCTTATTCATATTCACATTTTCTTTTGTAAGTGTTTCTAACCATATGAAAAACTAATATATTTTTAAATGACATTGATATAGTTACATAGCACCAAGTAGGTGCTTTCTCAATTCTCTTACCAGCTAAAGAGAACATTAGGTATGTGAACTTGAAACTAAGACAATAGGAAAAGGACAACCTGACATTCCAATGGCCTTTCAGATAACTGGAAAATACACACACACACACACACACACACACACACACACACACACAGAGTTTATTTAGGTCAGAAATCACACAGTTTTTTATTATGATGAAAAGGGTCAAAATGATTATCTGAAGCTGAGTGTGGTGGTGCATACCTGCAATGCCAACACTCTGGAAAACTAAAGGCAGGAGGATCACAAGTTTAAGCCTAGCCTGGGCCACTCAGTAACTTAGACCCTGTCTCAAAGTATAAAAATAAAAATAAAAATAAAAAGGACGGTGCATGTTGCTCCGTCTGAAAGCCTTAGGTTCAATGCTCAGTACTTCAACACCAGCAGCAGCAGCAGCAACAACCACCACCACAACAAAAAGACATCTACTATCACATTAAATTTTTTGTTGTTGTTTTTGAGATAGGATCTTGCTATGTAGTTCATACTGACCTTGAACTTAATTATGTAACCCAGGCTGGCCTCAAACTCATGAGCGATCCTCCTGCCTCAGCCTCCCAAGTGCTGGGATTATAGACATGCGCCATTATGTCCAACTCATCACAGTAAATTTTATAAACACACAACTACCATTTTAACTAGAAGTGTCTTAAGGTAAATCAATGTCTCTAGTGCAATCAATTAAACAAGAAGGCTTCACAAAATTACTACTAAGGGCTATTTTCCAAGTATAAAAGTCTTACCTGCATTATCACAGTGAAAAAGCACTAAATGAGAAATATTATTTTAAGTGCTATTTCTTTTAATGGAGGTAATATATCTGAAAACACTCAAAAACTTTTAGGTACTACACAGATTTTAAGTAAAAATTGTTTGCAATTTTGAGCTACATCCCTGTAATTTTTTTGGCATGCAAATTAACTTGATAAGTTTGGAGATGAGTACATATTCAACAAAACTATCACCACAATCAACACCATAAACATATCCATTACGCCTAGAAATTCCATTCCACTCTTTCGTGATATGAACACGTAACATAATATCTACCTCTTGGCAAATTTTTAAGTGTGCAACACAGTGTTATTAACTGCAGGCATTATGATGTATAGTACACATTTCAAGAATTCATTTATACTGTCTAACTGAAACCATGTCCTTTGACCAATACCTTCCTGTGTCCTCTTTCTCCCAGTCCCCAGCAACCATCATTTTACTCTCTGCTTCTATGAGATGCACTATTTTAGATTTCTCATATAATTAGGACCATATACTATAGTATATGTTCTCTGTCTAGTTTCCTTCACTTAGCTTAATGTTTTCCAGTTTCATTTACATCATTTCAAATGGCAAGATTTCCAACTTTTTAAAGGCCTAGTAATATTCTATTGCATGTATGTATCACATTTTCTTTACCCATTCATCTGCTGATGGACATGTAAGTTGTTTCTATGTTTTAGCTATTGCGAATAATGTTGCAATGAACCTAGGAATTTAGACATATGTTCAAGATTATGATTTCAATTCCTTTGGATATGTATTGTACCTAGAAGTGAGACTGCTAGATCTTATGCTAATTCCACTTTTAATTTTTTAGAGAACTTTCTGACTGCCTTCAATAGCAGCTGTAACAATTTATCTTGTCATTAACAGCCTGCAAGAGTTTCTTTCTCTCTACATCCTCACCAACACTCAGTATCTTTTTTTTTATTTACTAACAGCCATTCTAATAGGTGCAAGGTGGTAGCTCATTAAGGTTCCGGTTTGTAATTCCCTGATTAGTGATGGTATTTTTTCATATACCTTTTGGTATTTGCCAATTTTATATTGCTCTGTGACAGAAAAGAATGCTGAAGAGATAGTTTAGTATTACACAGAATTATTTAAATTATGTATGTCCTCTACTAGACATTTCTTAAAAGAAAATGATATGATTCCATGAATCCCTTCAAGGTTTCTGCTCAGACTTTTTTGAGGCAGAACTTTTAATCTTTTTGTTGTTGTTGGTGGTGGTGCTGGGGATCTAACCCAGGGCCTTGTGCGTGCAAGGCAAAAACTCTACCACTGAGCCACATCCCTAGCACCAGAACTTTTGATTTGGTATAAAATATGTATTTCAGGGCCGGAAACATAGCTCAGTGTACAAGTGCCTGCCTGGCAACAACAAGGTTCTGAGTTCGATTCCCAGTACCAAAAAAAAAGTATTTCAAAATACATACCTTGATTCTTTTTTATGTGCTATGTACACATACCAACTCCCTACCAGGAATATAATTATATACTGTATGATGCAAACATGTACTAATAAAAAATTAAAACAGGAAAATGACAGCCTATCATTTATAATTAGCAAGTTTCTTAAATACAATTTTCTCTTTGAAAAATTGTGAAATATAACCTTAATTAGATGATTAACATTCAGAATAATACTAAAATTTCTCTGGTCAAAGCTGGTTTTTTTTCCTTCTAGTACTGAGAATTGAACACATGGCCTTGTGCACACTAGGCAAACTGAGCTACATCCCCAGGTCCACCCATTTGAAATTTTAATTTTGAGACAGGGTCTCACTAAGTTGCCCAGGCTGTTCTCAAACATGTGACTCCCCATGCCCAAGCCTCCCAAGTAGCTGAAATTATAGGTATGAACCCCAACACTCAGCTCACATGGGCTTTTTCCTAAGCTAATAATCTAAATATATTTACCTTTGGCAGCATGGGAGTATCCCGCTTCTTCTTCTTTTCTGAGTTAGGATCATCTAGTAAGTCTGGCTCAAAAGTATAAAGTTCAGTAAGCTCATTCATAGTAAAATGACGCTCAACCTGCTGTTGATCAACAACTCGAAATGACAGTGACTGCTTAGTTACTTGCCGATCATAAATTTTATCTTCCATGGTTCCCTTTGTAAAAAGAAGGAGCAATAATATGTAAATAAACACAATCTTCAAAACATGAAATTTAAGGAGAAATATAGCTACTGGTTATATGAAATGGCAAAACGTCAAGATAATATGATGCTCTTAGTTTTAATTCATGAAGGATTTTATCTGTTCAGCACAGTTTACTACGACAAATCAAAAAACTGTGGGGCTGATAAATCATTCTGTATTATCTAACCAAAATGTTTCATGTGTTGCTTGACATATTTTTGTACTTAATAAAAGTAGGACAGCAAGGCAGGTATCAGGGTAAATAGAAAGAAAGGCATACATGCAATTAGAATTTAGCTGACAAATGAAATTAGAATGCAAGAGAGCAATTTAATTCCTTTTAAATGTAATAATCACCATAAAGCACCTTTATACTACCTTTATCTTCTACAATTTCAAGACAAAAAACTAAAATGCCATATCCATTACATATGCAACATTAGGAAATAAAATATAAAGAAGCTCTACATTTAAATATCAAGCAAGTGTTCACAAGGAGGTCATCTATCTTACTACATACTAAAATAAGCTAAGATCTACCAGTAAAACTCAGTTTCTATTTGAGAAGCCCAGAGTCAGAGGCAGGTAAAGAGTAGTATTACCTACTCCCAAAGCAGATTTACCAGTTTGAAGGGAAAGTTATTCTAAAAATCTCTATTACCTTAAATGCATCCATTTCTTTGATGAGTTTCTTTTTTTAATATCTGGGTTTAAAGGAAATGACTATAATAGTATTGTCTAAAAGTATTAAATATTCTTTTTATGATTCCATGTTAGTACAATACATTAACTTTTTATTTACTCACATTTGTCAGATTAGGAGAATACTAGTGGCAACTGAGAAACAAACAACATTTTTCTCTACAAGCAAAATGGATTTAGACACTGGCTTTTCTGTATGTGTGAAGTAAATGAACTATACATGTTTAATACTAAGTCTGTTTATTCCTATAAAACAACCTAAACTTAAAAGGGCAGACATTATCTAAATAGATTACTACAAAGAAAAGAGAAGCAAAATTTGATTTTTTGCTTTATTTATAGGAATGGTATTTTCTTAAAAACATTTTTTATTAGTATATGGTTGTGAAACAATATATGCATAATGAGATATTAGTACACATATATATCGCATATTGATCCTTTGTACTTTCCTTCTCCTCCCCAGGAATGAAATTTTAAACATTGCTTGCCTTTCTGTAGTACGTGTATGTTCTATACCTCTAAAATATTAGTTTAATCTAACTTCTCAATATGAAAAAGTAAATATAAATTATACACCTACCTGAGCTAAGAACCTATACACATAAACAGGTTTAGTTTGTCCAAAGCGATAAACTCTGAATATACTCTGGATGTCGTAAGATGGATTCCAAGAAGCATCAAATATAATTACTCGGTTAGCAGCTACCAGATTAATTCCAAGAGATCCTGCTTTGGTGGAAATGATAAACAATCGCCCTCTGGAAATGAAAATATGGAATAATGCTTTAGTAATTAATGTGTTATATATATTTTAATTGCATGACTTTTTGATCCTTAGGTTTCTAAATGAGTTCAGACAATTGATTTTTACATTCACAAGAAGATGAGACATATCTAAGTAAGTTTTATGGTTGATATGATGAAGAATCTTATTAACAGAAAATAAGAGTCTGACATAAGAATAATAGTGAATATACTGGACAGGCACAGTGACACATTTCTATAATCCCAGGTATTTAGGAACCCAACACAGGACAATAGTAAGTTCAAGGCCAGCTTAATGAACTTGGAGAGATTCTGTCTCAAAATTTTTTTAAAAATTTTATATGTATGAGTATGTGTGTGTGTGTATCCCTCAGTACTGCAAAAAAAAAAAAAAAAAAACAGGAACCATATGTATATGTACAATATATTTAAGGTTTTATACAGTCAAGTTGAAACACAAAATGACCATCACACCTTTGATGAAAAGTTGTTCTTAATGTAATTTATTTATTTACTCTTTTGGTTTT